GCTGTGTCATTTTGTAGTGCTCCAAGCTGGGTAGTAGGTAACAAAAAGCAATACGCCAAGAAACGACAAAGCTATTAACAAGAAAGGCCACAAAGCTAGATAAACATAGATAGACTAGGCCTGAAAGTGAATCCAAGGTTGCCTTGGTTGAGAGACTTCTGAGCACCTAAATTTGTAGGAAACAGCTCGAGAAGAAACGTGATTCCGTGATTCTCTTAAATATCTCAATTTAAATCATCCAATTCCAACGGCCACTATCGCATTCCTGCAGGTTGGCGATCGCTTTGGAAGTGGTGCGCGCAAAGGGATTCATCGGGTCGGTGAAAGTCTGCAACTGGCATGAGCAGGTTGTCCATTGGAAGTCTAAAGCAGCTCCAACTGAAGATTGAGTAAGAAAGGAATAGTTGGTGAAAACTAGGCAAAAGAGCACTGTGGCACCCCGAATTGGCTAGCAAGGCCGACAAATGAACACACTTTGTGGTAGCTGTCATTGGCAGGGTTTGTATGGCTAGAAGGCCAAGAAGATTGCCAATTTGGATCAAAGAAAGGCAGAAACTGAAGTCAGTGAACTCGGCCTTTGACCAACAAAGTGAAATGACCGGTTTCACCAAATTGACTCAACCATGGCGGGAGTGCCCCTGGCTTTCGCCCAGAGCGTGGTGACAGCATGTCGGGCACCTGGATCAGGACAATGGACGACAGCTGCAGTAGCTACCTGTAGACTACATTGATTCCCAGGGAAGGGCATCTCCACAGTCCAAACCCATTTGCGCCGTTGTATTTTGGATTTATGAGCCTTCTCTGATTGCACTCAGCTGCGATCTGCAAAGTCAGGGTCTCAAAACATCACCAGGTAAAGGGAACCATCAAAGGCAAGAAACTCTAGTATGGTGTGACTTCTGAATCCAAACGGACACAAACAGCAAGAATGTAGTTTCTGGCGCCAAGCAACCACGTCTGTCTCGGGCTTCGCCGGCTTCGCCTTGGTGTTTGTTGCAGAGAATGCGATAGATCAAATCATCGCAAGGTGCCCCTCCTGCCTCTGGCGATGCCACGAGGTGCCCCTGAAGATGCGTGTCACCTTAGTTTTTTCCAGATCCTTGAGTCAGAATGGACGAAGGCCGACAGAAGGAACAAATCGAGCAAGTTTCAAGTTTCAACCAATCGTTCTATCGCTGACCAAGCAACTTGGCCGCACAACGCTTCGGCACGCTGAGCAAGCGATGGAGCCAAGAAAGTTCGTAGGCAAGACTTGCAGAATCTGACATCGTTAACCTCTTTTTTACAGGTAAATTTTTTGACGGTTGCTTAGATTCGATGACATGCGCCTCTGAGTTTTTCTGGTGAACAACCTTCCGCATTTTGAGGTACGGGCTTTTATGCACCTTTCTCGCAAAACAGTTGTCTCTTGTGGAATTCTGCGAAACAAAACTTGCAGAACTGCTATGGTGCCAATGAAAAGTTCCTGGTCATTCTTTACGATGCCCATCAGTTTGTCTGACCTCATTGGGTATTGGACGCAGTAGACCAAGCAAGTCTGGATGCCGATACCTTCATTTGAAAGTGTTGGGTCCCTGAGGTGCGATCTCAACAAACATGATGACATGACTAGATCGCCTGCGCATGTTTCCAAAAATGTTGCTTGAGTTGAGGGGAAGAAGATGGAAGGAGTCTATTGCAAGAATCATTTTTCGCTCGGCCTCAAACAAGGGGCGCGGGAAACAAATCCCCCCAAGCCCCCTTAGGGCAACCCAACGCCTATTTGTTTGTAAGCGCTATATACGTACTCATCTCACTGGACCTTTGCTGCGCAGCTCGTTGCCAAAGCAAGCCCTCAGAACTTGTCGAATGGCAAGCACAGAGGCTGTCTTGAGGTTGCGTTGCCGCTGGCCTTGATTCCCTAGCGGCAGGAATCCAATCCTTAGTTATATCGGGAATCCAAAATCGGGGTCTGGGCAGCTGCTCCTTATCAGCCGGGCGTTTCAAGCGCCACCCGAACCTTGCCGAGAGGGTTCGCTGGCAGCAGCTGTTCGCAAACTGAAGGCATTCCCACACGACATGATTTCAAGAAGGAATAACACCTTGATGACAAGACAAGCGGGACTAACCGTAGCACCTAAAGCAGTTAGCAGAATGCAGCATTCTGCGCTATGTACTCGCGGGTCTCACTCAAACTAATTTGAGAAACACCTTGAGCAAGGGAAACTTTCGAGTGATCACTCCGCAGCCGGAGAGCTTCGCGCCTTTTACAATTTATAAGCCACCTATCGAAAGCGTAGAACCGAAATTGTTCTCGGATCATGGTTGCCCGAACCGTCCTGACGCCTAAGATGGAGAACTTGGTCATTGAAACACTTTCATGTCCAAGGCTCGAGCTCCTGACATCCCAGAATAGCCAAAGATCTTCGTAACACAACCACAGGCGATGAAGCATGCCTCACCCAGGAAAGGTTTATTACGGACAATGTTGCACCACAACTTTTGCAAAGCGGCGGAAATAGAGAAGCACGTAAAGCCACTTATTCGCCACACGGGAGCGCATGGCTCGAAGTATTCGATCCCCAGTAGTGACAGCGGGGACCTCTGGCTCCGTAGGTTTTTGGGCGACTTCCCGCTTGAGACACGTTGAACAAAAAGTTCGTCGTGACCCATATATATATATATATATGGACAATCGCAGTTTTGGGGGCAAGAATTGGGAAGATGTGCATTCTAGAATGCAAGCCTGGGGCGACTGCAGGCTGTCGGAATGCGTGAAAACCGGGCCAAGACTCAAATCGCTCCTCGCAATGCGCAAAGCTTGCTGAAGTGACAGACATTGTTGCTTTAGGGGTGAGCGCAACCTCACAAAGCGATAAGGCGCTGCCCAAGAAGGAATCGTGAAGGCCCTTCAAGTTCCTGCTCTTTTGCGCAGCGCTGGCCTACCTTGGCTGCGCTCAGCTTTGTTTCCTATGGGTGGATTTCAAGGGCCATCCTTGGGCGATTGCCCGCCGGGCTGACGCGCCGTCCGAACCCACCGATGTTGGTTCTTCCAGCAGAATGCAATGAATGAGCTCAGAGAGAATCTGGGGCCCCAGCACTGATCTAAAGTTTGACATGTAATGCCCAGATCCATGTGATCGTGGGCTGCGGGCAATCCAAGCCCACCTTTCTCCGTATACTGGGCTTGGCTGAAGGCCTCCGCTATAGGCCTCCCGGCCACTCTAGGACGCAGGCAAGTATCAGCCTAGGGTTGAATTTTAGGATGACGAGTAGAGTAGCGGCGTAAATACGCCAAAAGACACTGAAGACATTGATCCCCAGCGAGAGGCTGACCTGCTCCAGGCCTCAACAGATTCCAAGGCATGAGTCGGATCTGACCTGCAGACCGCAGAATGCCATAAACGAGTCCAGCGTCTCTCACCCACCAGCCCATCCTGCACCAACATAAGTTTGGCAACAGTGCCCTGTTCACTTTTCACCCACCGGCTTCAAGCCGCAAAGGACCCCTCAGACCAAGACTTTTCCAAGCTCGGAGTCTTTGCTTCTTCTTTCGCTTTGCTACCCGATTCTGCAGGCTTCACTGATTTGAGTGTGATTGATTCTGCTTCGTCGGAAACTCACCGCAACAGGCGCCGAAACCCGTAGAGTCGAGCCAATAGCTCGGGGGGGTTGCGCAAGTCCGTAGACATTCAGGGCCCACTGGTGCTGAGCTGGTTTTCCTGTAAGGCTAGAAGGACAAGACTAGGAAGAGGCAAGGGCTGATGGCGGCCTGATGGCCTGACTGCAGCTGATGGGATGCGGGCTGCTTCGGCCCGATCTTTTGAACCGACCTTTCATGCAGAAAATGTAATGCAAACTGCGATTGACCACAGGTCTTGATGGCTGCAGTGAAGGAGAAGCAGAGCATGGAAACGGTGCATGTTCAAAGGTGCTACCCAGACCAAGTTACATATTGTTATAAAAAAACTTTCATATGGTAAGGCCAGAATCCGTGATTTTAAAAAAATACAAAAAAAAATGTAAAAAAAACTGGAAAAGTCAAAGTCAAAAAAAAACAAATTGAAAAGTAAAAAAAAGAAAGTCAAAAATAAGTCGAGAAAAAGTCAAAAAAAAATCAACCATAGACCACAGCTCGAAAAAGTTAAAAAAAAAAAAAAAAATCGGAAAAAAAATCAAAAAAAAACGTCGAAACAAAAAATAAAAATAAAGAAAATCAAAAGTGTGGCTCCTTGCCTTGGCGGATTACTGGAGTCAAGAAAAGTCAAAAAGAAAGTCTTAAAAAAATGTAAAAAAGTCAAAAAAAAGTCAACCATAGACCACAGCTCGAAAAAGTGAAAAAACAAATAAGTCAAAAGAAAAGTCGAAAAAAAAGTCAAAAAAACAGACATCCGCCGGCCCTTGGGCGCGGCGTGTTTTAGGTGATTGGTTTGTATGCTATCCTAGTAGTTGTTTTGTTTTTAGTCTAATTGTACCCACGGCGCGGATTTTTGACAAGTCTAACTTCCCCCACCCCTCCCCCCCCTCAGCCAAAAGGGCCGGCGGAACAATCCGCAGGGGAAAATTTTAAAAAAAGTCGGAAAAAGGTCAAAAAAAGTCGGATCTGGGCAAATTTACGTTTTTTGATTTTCTGAAATTTTCTGATTTTACTTCTTTTGCCTTTGACTTTTGGGATTGACCTTTTTGACTTGTTTTTATTTTAGAAAACAGGCTCTTTCCAATGAAAGTTTTTTATAAACATATTGTCTTGATAAGACCGGCACAACATGAATCCTGGTCTATTGTCTATGAGGGGAGAGAAGTGTGCAGCTTGATCTGAGGCCTTTTTTTTCCGCTCGTCTCTGTGCACAAGTCTGACACCCAGTGTTCCTTCTCGTGATTGCCGCATTGCCGTGTTGACCAACATCGTGCAGCCTTCTATGGGCAGAACGTAGTTCGGCCTGATGGTTCTGGGGTTGCAGAATGCTATTTGTGTCTCAGTTACATATCTGCGGTTTGGCGCATAATCTTAGTATGTCTTAGTTGTGGTCTTAGGCCTTAGGCAATATGACCTGCGCACAGACATGGACGGTAGCACACTACTCAGCCGATGGACTTTTCCTCAAGCTCGTCATCGTCGTCATCGTACCTGCATGGTCTATTCACATGCCACACAGGCAGGTAAATCTGTCCATCCATCGGCCTTGCTCACAAGTGAGCCCTTAAATGGGCCGCATTGAATATAGACAAACACTTAATAAAGTCACTTACCCCCAGCCAGAGATCAAATAGCATACTATTCTCCGCCATGTTTCAAAGCTGCACTGCCAGCTACCCCGCAGGGCACTCGTCATCGTAGTCCTCATCATCTTCCTCGTCCTTGTGACACTAACAAATCTCATGCGGCTCAAGAAAAGAAACACGACAAGAATCATGTGCAAGCAAACCAACCAAAACCTGCCTACCTCCCCAAATCATCTGTGGTCAGTCACCCTGATGCCCACCGTCGGGTCCAATTGACCTCACAGTCCTGTGGCTTGCCGTAGATGAAGTCAATGGTACCCATCTTGATGCCACGCCTAGGGGCCCAAGGGTGCGAGAGGCACCTGAGGAGCTTGGGATGAAAGAGTTAATGAATGTAGTTAAGTGAGGTACAGTCTTGGCCTTCTTGGTCGTTCTAATAATTATTCTTGGTATAATTCTATAATATTCTATACTAATTATATATGTCATAATAATTCTTGGTATAATCATTATCTCTCACTGCCCAAGCATGACCGAGCGCGGAACCCGAGTTTCAAAGCTCTCTTCGCTTGCAACTCGCCTCGTCGGTACCAACGCACCTCGTCGGGACTCAAATCATCTCAGAGTGTCAGTGATGTGCTAGGGTGCTTATCCATTGCTTATCCTCCAAATGTGCCTGAGCGTGTTTGCCTGAGCCCTGAAAAATGGAACTGCCTTGAAGGTTACCCAGCCCATATGAAACTCTCAAAGCCTTGTCTCGGTGGCTTCTCCAATGTGCTCGCCTGAGATATGCCAACATCCGACCCAAAGTAGCAGCAACAGTCAGCCGAAAAAAGAGGACTGAAGGGTTCGAGACGGGGCCGGGTGGATTGTTGTGGAACCACAGCATCAAACAGGTTTCGTCGTTATCGAAGGAAAAGTTGTTGTGGCTGCTCTTGCACATTCTTCCACAGAATGGCCACATGTTTGTGGCTGCACGCATTTCTTGGTCTCCCTACTTTCCTTTGGGCGATGCTGCGTGCATGCCGACATTGCGTGCAATGGCCCCGGCAGCCTCAACTCCACAGTTGTGAGGCTGTCTTGGATGATCTCCCATTCCCACTCATGTAAAAAACAGCCACTGGACAGCCAAATAAGAGCGATGGCACGGCGATGGGGTTCAGGTGCTCAGCGTCAAGCCGTCAAGAACAACAAGCTGCTGCCACTGAAGCTGAATTGGTGCTCCTGAAATGAGCTTGAAGGTGTCAAACCGTCAACCGTGTCAAACCGTCAACAATGTATGCTACACATTGATGTCAAATACATGGATGATAGGTTGCGGGACTGTGATGTCAAATACTTTGGAACGATGTAGTCAGGGCCAGTTTAACAGAGAGTTTAACTGTAGTCTCACCACTTGAGAGAGGAGGGGGTGAACGAAAGGTAGCAGGCAATCACAAGTAACCCTGGTAGAAGTCCATGACGGCGCGAACCGGCGCAGGGGGGATTTGATCCAGGGAGGGGGCCCCCCCCCCCGACGAACAGAATCAACTCTTACAGGACCAAATTCAATGCACAATCCCAACTCCTGATTGTAATACATTTTTGCTAAAGCAAGGAGAACTCAGGTAGCTCAAGCTACCTTTCGTGACATGAGCTTCTGGGCCACTGAGAGTTCACCAAAGCAATCACTCTCTTACTTAGAAGGCCTCTGCTGATCTTGGAGATGCTGTCGTTGCCTGCTGCGTGGATACTCACGCACACATGAACGCTGTCAATGAAAGGACAGCTCACAACTCATGATTTGGAGTTCCTGATTCGTCAGTCAAGCCTCCAGGACAAGTGACAAACGGGTTGTCTGATCCCTTCCGAGCATCGTCTTCTAGGCTGTTTGCGGGGGGCAATGTCGACAAACCCATTTGGCATAAGTCTCCCAACATCTAGCGATGGCCATCCTACTGCAGTTGGAGCCCTTTCAACCTCCACGAGTTCAAATGAGCATCCACACACCCAAAAACCAGTGAAGCGCTTGCCCCTTGCCTCTGCAGCGCCTTCAGCACGTGCGGCCAGCCTCAGTCAGGTTGATTGAAGTTGATTGCTGCAACACCGATGCCATCTTGGTGGAGCGCAACACGCAGCCATGAAACCTCATCGCTAACTATGCTTCCGTATTCGTAAACATGTATATAGGATTTATATAGGAAAAAAGAAAAGGGAGCAATCTGTTACATACATTCCTTTTTCACATTCAGGGGTCCACACACCAATCTGAGGAAGCTTGATGTCTTCACTCCCTTTGGTCTGAACAAGCCCATGCACCTTGGACCACCAGAAAGGCCTCCAGGGAGAAGAAATGCACCTGACGCTGCAGGTTCTCCTGCGTTTGTCTCCATGAGCTGGAATAGGTCAACCAAGAAAGGGGGTTCTCCAAATGAGAACAGTGCGTTCATCGTTCGTTTCCCAATTTCAACCAGTCGGTTTCACCCATCTGGGATCCAGCCACATCCGGTGCTTCTGCACCCCCCTGACCAATACCTAATCTAGAAACTATGCCTGGATAAAGTTTCCACTTTGAGCTTTCAGAAACTTTCGGTGGGTGTCACCGTGTTGGATAGCTTGTTTAGAAAAAGCTCCTTGCCCAAGAAAGCTTTGACACCCGTTTCACTTCACACATTCGTCTCTAGATGATTACTAGCACCAGGCAAAGAAGTTGCATGTACAAGTCTCGCGTCTGAGTCATTGTAGTCAATGCATGGGGTCAAGCTGATTATGGCTGCTGCAAATATTCAAACGCCAGAGATTGCACCAAATCATAGCTTTCGTCCCATCATGAGCTCTTTAGCATACACTGACTGGGACAGCAACTAGTCTTTGGTCACATTAGATCGGGTGGAAGCCTGTAGAATCCCTACATCGCGTGGAAATGCCAGCTACGCATGCCGGATTCCACTTGGACCCCAGCTGGACGAGGCAACCACCTAGGTGATCATCATTGCCGAATGAATTTCATTAGTTCGGCTCTCATCTGACAAGTTCACCTTGCTTGCACCATCGGACAAGCACAGCAAGCTACTTAGACGGATCTTTGGACATTTGGAAATTAGGACTGGTTGCACCAGGGAGATCTATCGAATTGTATGCTTGAGTACAACCGGCGGTAAAACTCCAAGTCAAATTTGATGCGCGGTACACACTCAATGCAGGGTCCCGGCCATGAATCAATTAGTCCTCATGCGACGCGAAACAGGGATCCTCTAAACGACTCTAAAGTGGGTACTGTAGCCATCCGCCCTTCGGGCCCTTCCCTGAGAGGGTCACCATAAGGGCTGCCACCAGCATCAAGGCAACCTGTTGGCACCGTTCTTTTCTGCGTCCAGTGACGAGTGTTTCTAACCAGTTGAGAAAACTGTGCTTGAACTTCCTTGCTAGTTTTTGAGGAACCCTTGCCTGAGTAAAGCTTGACCAGGCGCAGCCTCTAGCCTTCTTTTTGGAGCGAAAACAAAAACACCCTTTCAGGGTCTAAGTGCATCCTTGGGAATCGTTTCACTGGGAATTATTTCACCTGTAGTAACAAAAAAGCTTTTCATTTTTGGCCCCGCTCCCCCTCCTCACTTCTATATAAGTCCATCCTTCACTTCTTTGGTGCGATGTGCCTGGCCCATGAGGACCCGCGCCGCCATGCTTAGCCTGATTGGAGTGTGCTGATCATGCTGTGCCCCGTATTTTTAGCACTTCGAAGTTGCAAAAATTTGGACTAGAGTTCTGGACAAATTGATGGCAGGGTCTCTTATCTGGCACGATCAGTGTTAAACTCAAATATGTCAGATGTTTTGTACGCAGAAAGATCCTGCTCTAGCCTTGCACTGACCAACAAAAGCCAAAGCGTTGGTATGCTGTTTCCCGAATGGCGGGGTCGACATACACACTAGAAATCCCGGATTGCGTAGCTCTATCCATTTGTGAGCAAGAAGAACGCTTTGTAATGGTTAAAGGCCGTAAAGGTAATCCACGTTGCCATTCCCCTTCTACGAACAAAAGCGTGATGTTTACCATCGTGAAAAGAAAGAGTTCAAGTTGGCCATCTGTACGCTGGACGGCCCAAGGCAATTGAGCTCTCTCCTGCGCCAAGCGGACCGGCCCCAGCTCTGGCCAAATGCTTGGGCCAAAATGTGACAAACACCTCCACCTTCGCTGAGGACACCACCACATGATTTACGCGTCTTGCCTGTGTCTTTTCTGAGGCTCTTTGTTGTGAATCGCTTCCATGGAGATGAAATCGAAACTGATTGCACATACGGCAGATGTATGACAGCTCTGCAAGTTCAATATATATATATACTAGGTTGATCTCCATGGACAGTCTCTGGTCTTTTAAAAATGATAACACGTTTTTCTTACTTCACTCCCTGCGCTTCACATGAGTAAAGCTGTTGCCTGGGGCGCTTTACCAGTCGCCAGTGTCGGAGTCAAGACACAGACTAGACTGGCTGGGGGCTACGGCGGACAGGGCTTGTGAACAGGGGCCAGATGAAGCCTTGCGAATGCAGGACAAAGAACAGTTGGCTTGCCTGATAGCTGCCACAAGCCACGGCCAAAGCTACGCCAACTTGAGTGGCATTGATTTACAACACGTTGATAGAGCTGAGTCATCTGGCTACTTGAGCGGTTGCTGAGAAGAATCAAAAAACACATTGAACGTATTTGTTCGCCATCTCAAGTTGCATGTCGTGACACCATCTCCTGAGGCTAAGGCTACCGACTGCAGGGTGGCATTCTTGATGGCCAGTGGAACCAGCGGCTTGGGACTCATGATGTTGGTGCCCTTTAAAGCTAGCACTGGCCTTCACCTTTGCTTTTGATAGCACGTGTCAGTAGAGTGGCTTCATCTTCCTTCTTAATTTGTTGGTCAGTGAGGTAAGAAGCCCTAAGCCTGAAAGCCAAGGTTCTTTAAATGGGCAAAGTGAGCATGAGGGCAAGACCCCTTCACCAAACGCTTCAATCCGGTCATGAAGCAGCCTGCTTTTCGGTAGCCTGTGCCAATTCAGCTTCAGAATCGGGCAGGATGAATCAGCCTTGGTTCAGCCATGGCAGAAGAAGTGACTCATTCGACTTATCCGACTCATCTGACTCCAAAATGACCGTGCTACCCTGCTTTGCAGTGTTCACACCTCCATCCAGGAGGTTGGCCGAGCGGATGGAATGGGCGTGTGTTCAAGCAAGGGGCATGTTCCGCCTTTGTCAGTTCTGCATGCCAATGTCAGCAGGGATGGCTCCTTCGATGGCTATGAAATTCTGTTTGTTGAATTTGCTCAAACATTGATATTTCCAAATTGGGTGCAACAGAATCCAACCTGGGCGAAAAGTTCAAATCCATTCACGAGCCGAATCTTGCCGTGTTCCCCACAAGAAGAATGAACTCGCGAAGAATCAAAAGGTGCTCTGTGAGTTCCAACTTTGACAACCGCAAGTGGCATGATCGAAGATGTTTCCAAAAAAACTAAGGAAAATCTGAGCTCCGCTCCAAATCGCATCATCTCCGGCCCATCGATGTCATGCCCTGACAGATTGGCTCCCTTGACTCTCTCAGGTCGAATCCAAGTATTGAAAGTGTGCCATAGATCGCTATTAGGTTGGAGGCCATCACTCTTAGGTTGGAGGCCATCTAGTTGAGGCTCCTCACTTAGGGTTCTTCTCCACAGCGGGGGCTGTGCCTGAGCGTCCACTTTCAGAGCCTTTGGCCATGCCATACCTAAGCAGGCGAAGCAAGAAAAACAGAAATGGAGCTGGTGCTCTGCTCCGTTTCACAACCCACGACAAAAAGAACCAAATCCAATATACAGCAATCCAACGAACTATGCCACTACTTTAGCCAAACGTTGGCCCTCTGTTCAGGTACCATGGTAAACTGCTGACTTTGTCTCAAGAACTTCTCCATGGGCCCTCACTTCTCAAAGAGCTGCTGCATACGCGCTTGATGCTCCGCAGAAGGCGCCTCGAGATCCATAAAGATTCGAGGAACCAAGCAATGTGGGTATGGAAAACAGCTGAGTGGATGACAAACGGATGAATTCATATATAATCTTTATAATCACCACTATGTCACCGTGTGAGTGTATGAGTGTGAAGGTGCCACCTGTTTCTCGACAAACGATGAGAAGTGTTTTAATATCTTTCAGGCCTAATGGAGCCTAACGGGCCTAATGTATCTGGTCCACTCGGGTGCCGCACGTTGCGGCGGAAGTCCTGCTCTGCCTTGCTGGGCGATGGGCTCCGCCTGATGGAGTCCAGACATCCACTGATGGGCTCCGTCTTGATGGCAAACGCTGACAGTGTGTACAGCACACTGTGATCAGTTCCAGCAGTCTCAAGTCTGTTCTAGGAGAATGGATCTTAGAAGACACCATGGTTTATCTTGCTGGGAATCCCTGTTTGCATGAGGGCATGACGTGAGCACCCTTTTACCAATCAAAACATCTTGAGGTTGTCTCACCACACAATCTGCTTTCATAGTTTGGGCATCTCACCACACAATGATAGTTTGGCATAGTTTGGCCTTGAAAATTGTTGAGCGCTGGGCCCTGCTTGAGCCCTACTGGCACGCGCCTTCGGACCTGCTTCATGGGTACAAAGGTCTCCTCCTCCATCAGCCGGTGCGATGCAGCACCTGTCGTTTCCGGGTGCTGCACCAAGTCTCGGTGTGCCAGTGCCCCGTGTCTTACACAAGGTGTTGAAGAGACTGATGCAGAAGGAACAGACTGTTGTCATTAGGTCCAGGTACAGCTGCATCCCTTTTGTTGTCATTGTCTGACCTTGGACGGGGGCTCGCATGCTCTGAGACTTTGAGGCTTGATGTGCAAACCAAGGCTTGGCAAAAAAGACAAGAACAAACAAATATACATATACCTCCGAGGTGGAGTACTTGAGGTACTGGCATATCAACTCCCAGTTGCATGTTTCCCCCTCTTGCTTTCTAGTCTGTGGTGTCCGTATTTGTAAATATATCTATATATACAGTATATATAAATATAAATACGGAGAGAGACCAAACAGCTGCGGCAAGGTTAAAAATTGCAACATGTATGAAAACGAGAGACAAAGCCCCACCGGGTCAGGATCTATAGAACAAAAACAGATCTTATCAGGTTGTCAAACAACTTTCAAGAAGTAAACTCAATATATCGTCTCAGTGAGAAACACATGACAATATTCAAGACGTTCACAACGGTGAGTTTTGTGGAATAAGTCCAGCCTTGCTCACGAGGCAGTGCACAGGCGGCCTTGTAGCCGACTGGTTTCCTTGCGTATTCCTGGCAACTTGAACTCTGCAGTGTACTCTGAACAACAAGTGCGGCACATATATAAATCAAGTTTAAACAACAAACGCGAACTAAGTTGCTAGTTATCCTCTTGTGAGTCTCGTTGCTGGGTTCCAGCAGCTCTTTTTCCTTCAGCGGACCCTTGTTATTCTGTTTCTGCGGCTCTGTTACATGTGATTACCTCAACAAAGATTCACTTGGATCAGTGCGACGATGTAGCATCCACGTCGCAATCCATACCAAGCAAGTCGTGCAACAACAGGCGACAGGCAACAAAGAACCCAGGGCGCCTTCCCTGAGGAACAGACAGCTTTCTCTCTGTCTGCCTTCCCTGAGCAGAATGCAAGGTCGGTTTGACTCTGTCTCTGAGTTGATTGACCACAACATGCATTGAACGGAGCCTTTTTCAGGGGACCCTTACCTTTTCTTGGTCCTCTCCTTTTCACTATATAATTAGAATTGAAGACTAATTGTTATTGAAGTACCTGCTCTATTCTCCCGACTTTTGACATGATGCAGGGGCAACTTCATGGCGATTGCCTCAGCGTCTACCCAAGTTCCGCACGCATTTCTTCCACTAATTCCTTGTCAGTCTTGCCTTTCTCTCTCGCCCAGTCAACACCTGCAATTGCAACCCAGCATGACACAGAAATGGATGTGGGTATCACACCCATTTTGTGCAGAATCCCACGGAGATCCTCGGTCGGTCACCCTTTGAAGCCCAGAAGTTGAGGAACTTCAAGATTGATCAAAGCAAAATTCAAACCAGATTCAACTCAAGAAACCAATCTGGCAGGATGCCCTTTGCTCCTAGTAGAGTCCTCTTGTTCCTTGCGATTCGATGTCCCTTCTGCTTCAAAAAATGAGCTCTCTGGAGCGCACCATCCCGCGAACGACTTCGTGAGCGCCCTCGTGGCATTCGGCCAACCTGAGATGTTTGGAAAAGGAAACCGTGACTTTCAAATCACGGATTAACGACTATAGTGACTAACAGGCTTCAGCCTGGACTGCCCATCCGTACTATATAGATTTGGGGTCAAAACTATTCTTCAAGTGAGCAAGCATTCACATGTATTCGCAATCCCGGCTGAGGATAAACTACAATGCGATCACAAGCTCGGCTGCTGGCTGTGCTCTTATATCTTTGATCTGCCAAAATAATTCGACCTGGCAAGTAACAGGAATGCTGGGAAAACGCATGAGCAAGGCTAGCCGAAGAAAACAATATGCAATTGCATATTTATGGTTGCTCCTGCGGAGTACCAACCGTTTGGGAAGTGTTACAACTACTGAATGCTTTTATGCCCCCTGAACAAAAAAGAGGTTTCATGAGTACTCAGTCTTTTGGAGGCAACATGAGGCAACTATTGTGATATAAGGTTCTTATAGGATAAGTTCCAGCGGGGCTACAATTCTTACTTGGTAGCAACCATGTCGCGAGGGTCATTTTGGGAAAGGGTTCCCACCGCGACCTGACAGCTGAGCTGTTCGCAAGCAAGATCGCTATCACCAAGAGTAACTCAAGGATCGCTTCGAGCATCTTCTTGCTAACCACATCGGCTTCCACAACGGATTTGGAGGACCAGTACGAGCGCTAGCGTGATCCTGGCGTGGTGGTCCCAGTGCGTTGAGCGTGTCGTGTGTTCTTTCGTGGACCTGTGTCCCGTTGCCGGAGCTGTTTGTTGGTCCGTGGCGTTTGGTGTTGCCATTGGTGTTGACCTGTTTCTTTGTCTTTGTCCTTATTTGTCCTTGTGCATTGGCAAGTTTTTGGTCTTTGTTATCTGTAGTCCGTTGTCCAGTCATCACTGGATTATATATGTGTAGCATTGCCTGACGCTTGTCCTGATGTGTTGT